GAACCGCTCGGTTTCAACCGCGGCCGGCCGCTGGACCGCTACCACACAGCGGGGCCGACGATCGAGCGCAGTGACCGTCGGCCTCCCGAGGACGGATACCGGGCTGTCCTCAACGACATCCACCAGACGATCCGCGAAACGGAGGTACCCCAGCTGCCCGTGCTGCCGCTGCTGACACCGGCACAGCGCCGCCAGGATGAGGGTGTCAAGGAGAGTCCTGCACCGCCGCCGCGACTGCACATTCCCAAGAGACGACTGACGTCACGGGCAAGCAGACGACGAGACTCGTATGGCCCGACGCCGCTTCGCCGACCAAGTGTGCGTCACCGCCGCTCAGTGGACTGGGAGGAGCCCGGCCTGCTGGCACTCAGAGATATCGTTGACACCAAGGTTGGCAGGTTCTTCCCCGGAAGTGGCTCGCCTGTTGCCCAACGTCGCTCTGACGACGACCTCCTGCGAACGGAACGCGACTTCGACGCAGAGTTCTTTAGAGAAATGGACGGGGATAATTTCGGCGCGCCGTGGCCCGCTCCAGTGAGGAATGAGATCGCCGTGGAACAGGCGCCAGTGGGTCGACGGAGGAGTCAGACAGCTCGCCTCGGACGGGTTTCAGATAGCAGTTCTGTCTGGACCGGACAGACTCGCGAGGCGGTGCAACACGATTTCGGATACAAGCGTGGACGTTCGACCGAACGGCAGACTGCTGGAGCACAGGACAGGTCTTCAGAGAGCGACTCAGCGAGCACGTTATCTACAGAGACTGCCACCGAATCTCAAGACGACCTAGATTCCGCCGCCACTACTGAGCTCTTCGACGCTTCTGAATACGGCACACCCAAGTCGGATTCGATTCTGTCTGCATCAGAAACGGCCCAGCTCGCCGAATCCGAGGTGGCTGCGTCATCGCCGGTGCTCGCTCGGAGCCGCACCCGGCGTCAGCAGTTCCCGTTCATACCGCGGCGAAACGAGGGCGTGGACCAGCTACGGGAGCTTCAGCGGCAGTCTTTCGCCCAGCCAGTTAGGTTCCAGGCGCCGCAGCCCGGCCAGCCGTTCGTCAACACCCAATTTGTGAACGTCGGTCCTCAACCAACGCCGCCGAACAACAGGCAGGAGAGCGACAGCGATGACGACATCACGGACCGCCAGTCGGATTTTGGAGGAGCTCAACGTTTCCAGCCTGCGAACACGTTCGTGCTGCAGCCTGCGCGATTGCCGTCCCAGTCGGCATTCGGTGGTCCCATCTCATCGGGCAGCGCCTCTGCAGCGAGACCACCCAGCTTCCGAGCGATCGGCTCTCAGCCAGCCGAGCAGAGCTTCACACGACCTCTGCAAGACTTTGCAAGGCCCCAGCAACGATTCCCCCAGCCCCCGCCTGGCTTCCCGCAGCAGCAGAGATTTGGACAGCCAGCGTTCCAGGATAGTCAACGATTTGGCAGGCCCCAGTCTCCATCCGTGGTGGGAAACCTACCCACCTCGTTCCAAGCTGGCAGCTCCCCTTTCAGTCCCAGGCCTGGCTCTGGCATTAGCGTGAGCTCCATCTCGACATCGAATGGTCCTGCTGGTTCAACCGACGAAGACGAGAGGGGCTTCGACCGCCAGCCGAACGGTACCCCGCCGGGACCTGACGACAGTGGTCCTCAGCCGTCGGGTGGCGCCCAATTCCAGCGGCCTGGTTCCTTCCAGTTCGGCAGGCCAGCCGGCCCACTGCCCTCTGGCTTCCAGTCGCAGCCGCCACAGTCACAGCAGCAGTTCGGTTCCGGACTCCTGCCGGCACCAAACGCGCTTGGCTTTAACACGTTCGTGGCTCCGCAGTTCGCGGCGGCGTTCCAGCGCCTGCCACCACCTCCAAACCCGGCCCGTCCCGGCGACTCGGCGCCGCTCAGTGGTCCATCTCGTTTCTTGCCCACAACCCGGGCGCCGGGTCAAGTGTTTGCGCCTACCCTCGCACCGTTCTCCTTCAGTTCGCAGCCAAGCCCAGCGACCACCGCGAGACCTCAGACTGCAGCGCCCAGTGTCATTCCGCCGATCGCCGGCTCGGAAGCACCCCTTTCCTCATTCGAAACCCGGGATCCAACCGTATTCCCTGCCCTTGATGAAGAGGACGACAGCGGCTTCGGTGGAGGTGAAAGCGATTTCTTCAGGCCCGGCCCGGACGTGGTGAATCTCCAGCCCGTCGATGACGAGTTCTTCGGTCCGCCGACTGGCCGGCCTTTGCTCGACGACCCACCACCTCTGGAGACCACCGCGCCTGCTCCGCACATCTCCAGCCCGCTGCCCCCGGGTGTTCTCTCCGCACTGGCTGGTGTCACCGAGCCAACGTCTCCATCCACCACCGAGGAGCCGCGTCCAACCCAGGGACGGCGCCGCTTCAGGACCCGAAGGCCGGGAGGTCGCCGTCGTTTCCGTCCCACCTCTGCTCCGGAGGTTACCAACGACGTGGAGCCCGAGGACGACGGACTAGAGAAAGACTCAACCAGAGATCTTGCTTCGCCGACTCAAAACGAGGGCATCACCAGCCAGAGGAGACGTCGTCCGCCGTCGCGAAGGCGTCTGGCCGGTCGTCGGCGAACCACCACCACCACGGCTGCGCCGGTCACCGACGAGGCGACCGAGCCTAGCGAGACTGACACCGAGACCACAGAGGAGGCCGCGCCGGTCGCTCCAGTGAGGAAGTTCCGCCGACGTCGGCCGGTTGGTGGCAGCGGCTTCCGTTCCCGGCCTCGTGCCCGGCAAAGGCTGAGGACCCGCCTCCAGCAACAGGAGGAAGAAGAGAGCGCTGAGGGAGAGACCGAGACCGTGACCGACTCAGCTGCTCAGGAGACTGGAGCGAGTCAGCAAGCAGCTGAGGAGGAGAAGCAGGTGGCTCAGCGACCGAGCCGTCGGCGACGACCGAACGGTGCCTCCCGGAGGCCGTTCCGTAGGCGCAACAGGGTGAGAACCACCGAGGCTCCCGCCACTGAGGCGCCCAAAGAAGATGTCGAGGAGGCCGACGTGCCTGTGCAGCAGGAGACTGAAGAGCCGGCAGAGGAGGGGATATCCGACAGTGACAGCCAACGTCTCACGGAGGAGACCACTGAAGACACGACAGAGGCAGCAGAGGTGGAAGATGACGACGACGAGTCGGCTGCAAAGACGACCCAGCAGCGACTGCAGGAGCTGTACGAGAGGCGGCGACAGAACAGACTCCAACTCCGCCGTCAACGGCCGTCCTTCAGACGCAGGCCAGCCGCGCAGGACGACGAGGTCTCTGAAGGGGACCAGGAAGACACCGAAGTCGCCTCCTCCAGAGACTCTCGGGAACGGCGGATTGGCAGCCGGCGCCTGACGCAACAGCGACTGCGGCTACGCGTCAACCGACCTACCGACGCTGAGATCACCGTACAGGTGGCGCAGACACCTACTGAGCGCCCAGAGTCCGACGGGGAGCAAGCGTCGAAACAGGTTGAGACGGACGAGCAGCCGACCAAGCGGCCGACGGAACAGCCGACGGAGCAGCCCACTGAGCAGCCGGCGGAGGAGGAAGAACAAGATCAGGAGCAGGAGGAGCGGAGACGGCCAGGGCGGCGCCGGTTCCGCACGGACCGCGTCCGACAGCACCAGCGTCTCCGCCTTCCCCCGCGGACCGGAGGTCGGGTGTCCACACTGGCCAGTCTTCTGGTGGAGACCGGCGGTCCGACCACCACGCCGAGCCCTGCAACCACCAGCCAGCCGCCGACCGCCGCCGAGTCACTGGCAGCGGTCAACCTGGAGGGATCCAACATGGAGAGTCGCGGCCAGCCGCCCAAGCGGACCCTGCTCGGGTCGCTGGTCCAGCGCCAGTCAACGGCTCCTCAATTTACGCGCACCACACTCACACCGGTGCTAGCTGAGACGGAGAACCCGGCACCGGCAGCCACCCGGCCTCTGGGTGCCGTCGAAGAGCATGACCGCACCACCAGCGAGCCGGCGGAGACCACTGCCGCGCCTACACAGACTGAACGGACCACAGCCCAGACCACGGCCGAGACCACGCCGGAACCGGTCCCAGAGACCACGGCCAGGACCACCGCCGAGACGGTCCCGGAGACTACCGTATGGACCACCGCTCAGACGGTCCCTGAGACCACAGCGGCGAAACAGACGGCGGATACCACAGTCTCGGTCGAGGCTGTCACCACGGGACAGCCAGAGTTCATTCCATTCGACAGCACAGCGCCGGAGGTCGGCCTCGACATGATTGTGGAGCAGGTGGCAGCCACCGAGGCGCCCACAGAGCACCCGTCCATCACCATGGCCACTGACGCGCCACTGTTGCCGCTACAATCGCTGTTTGCCGGCTTCTAAAGGGGGCGTCACACGCAGAGAGTTCCTCTGATGTCATCAAATATCAACAGCCACCGCTGGGCTGAGAATACAGTGGTCAGTGAGGACAGTGCTTAGCACGGTTTTACATATGACAAAGTGTGTAGCTGTATATTTTCTATGAGTCTCAATGTGTGTACAAGTAATGCTTGTTTGAAAGAGGCTATGTAAGATGTGGCAGAGGTTGATCAAAGTGTGGGCAGATGGCACCCGCTTCGGCTGACAGTGCCAGCTCAGCCAAAGTAATCTTGTGGATGGTGCATCCATTAGTATTCATTTTTTGTTACTCGTCCTTCCTGTAGCGGGATGTAATGTTCGCTGCTCCGTTACCATCCCCATACATAGGCCGTCCATCTGAGTTCTGTGTACCGCATGCCGATGTCAGATGCAAGCTCAACCTGGCTGAGAATTGAGCACTGACCTATGACGTCATCGGAGGTGCGTGGGCTGGCCTGGAGCGAATCGGCAGCCTGCTATCGAGAGTAACCTTCCATGTTATACCATCAGCGTGCTTTACGATGCTATTTATTGTGAATAAATGTGTGTTGAATATCTTGTTGTCCGATGTGGCTTCCACCCCACGGTATCTACATTCCCGTAGTTAAAGGCTCAGGTTTGACGTACAATATGTCAACGTTCACCTCATCCAATACGCATCATACAAGAGGCACTTTATTCAGATAACATGAGAAAATTTAAAACAATAAGCCGAAGCACCTTTATTTTCGAATCCCGAAACGTCATAAAATGGCTCGCGAGCTCGTGATATCTATAGCTACGACTCTTTAAACCAAACCGTACAATCACTGCAACGTTCAAACCCCCACCGCATACACTATGTCTCGGGCGTCTCGCGGATCGCCCCGAATGCAGACAGAAGAGACAGTTACTCCCTCGCGTTCAACCACCGCGGGAGAGCGCAGTTATAGGACGGCCAACGGGGGCCGACTCACACGCCCGAATATATAGATAAATCAGATTGAACCCAACGGACAACATCGACATGCCTCTCACCGACGATCATGTTATATGAGGCTACATTGGCGCCCGGGGAGCGGAGCTTCAGGTCCGGAGATGGAGGGAGCCTGGTGTCAAACGCTCCGGACCAGACTGCCCCGACCGTCAGCCCTCCACCGTGGGAGCCATGAGCTGATAGCAACGCAAGGCTTCTCAGTAGCGAGCAACTCTGCTCCGTACACTTCCGAGCAGCCATACAACTTCGGCATACTCCTAGAAGTTCTGTTTGGGTTCGCAAGACTTCGCACATCTCAGTACGACTTGGTGTGGATGCAGACAGCTCAGAACGGTCAGACTTCTGCATCGCTTCAACCAACGACTCTGCATCGCTCCGATCAGAGGCGTCACATCGCTCTAACCAGAGGCTTCACGCAGCACGGAATGCGTCATTCGCGTCACACTCTTGCGCGCTAAGCTAGATAGATCTCTCCACACCCACACCCACACACGCACAAGCACGCGTGAACACCAGTGTCATCCGGACATCCGGCCAGCGCGATATGGCCCATCAGTGTCGCGCCGCGGGCACTTATCAGGCCTCCGGCAGTCCGCAGGATTGGCCTCTTGTCAGCGCGGCGCGGCGGCAGACCGCCAGTCGCTGGTGGCTGTCCGCCTCTCTATTTGTCTGTCCGCCCTAGTCGGCTGCTCCGCCGGCCGGGCAGTCGCCGCTGGGCGACTGTCAGTTCCACGATCGGTCCTGGAGAGGGGAGCGCCGTCAGCGGATAGAAGTGGGGATATCGTCAGTGTCAGAGGGAAGCGGTGTTAGCGTCAAGGTCAGATTAAAGCGGTGTCGGCGTCGAGGTTAGCAAAAAGCAGTGTCAGAATCAGAATCAGAGGTGTCAACATCGGTGTCAGTGAAGAGCGGTAGTGTCAGTGCTAGGGCCAACAGTGAACGGTGCGAGTGTCACGATCATGCAGTAAATAAAACGTACAAAGCCTTCACTGAATAAACCATAACATACCATCATCGCACAAAACAAAATGTTGAAGGGTCCACATATTCCCTCGTGAAATAGCATACCTACCTATTACTGACGTCATGAAGTCGGAAAACAGATAGCATACAATGCATTAGGATAAAGAACAAGACCAAAGTAATGTGGCTAAAAAAATGAACATAACAGTTAACACTCATAACCTTGACTAGCTATATGAACTGATTTAATCATCACTATCAGAGAAATAGCGCATGACGTGCAGTAGGGACAGGCATTAGCATAGCTTATTTGTTCAGGGCGTCGGAGTAGAAAATTAAGGTCAGTAAAGGAGGGCAGTGATTGGGTTGGTTCGTACACCGTACAGATATGAAATAACATCGCATAAAAGTCCAAGGAGTAGGCTCACCTGAACCAATCAGCAGACTTATAACTCACGGAACATGAACTTGCTTAAAATTGAATAAAACATTATAGATACTGATAATAATTATGAACGTATGAGCCTTTATGTAATTCAAGTGAAACATAATGCCATATTTTGTCAAAAAGGCAAAAAGAAAAACGTGACATACCCGAAGAAGCAATTGAGGTTATGGTGCACACACCAAGCTGTGTATGACACGATAGCACACGGTATGTCACAAAGGGGAGGCGGAAGGCACCGATGCCATTTAAGGGCTAGGCTCTTGGGTGATCAATATCAGCGACGTTACTCCCGCTTAGTGTTGTCCTCTAAGAGGAGAGAAACCAAGCCACAGCGGATGATATGAATATATGGAAAAGCGGGTGTCGGGTCAGTGGAATTCATCCGTGCCGGATAGGTCATGAAGACCTTCAACATCAAGCCTACCATGCACCACTAGCACCACCCCAGCCGCAGCATCGGACGGAGAGAGGTCCAGTAGCAGGCCATATAGTCTGGGTGCCTCACTCCCCACCACCACAACCAGTCACGGCGGCGGCCGGACGGGTATCGCCCACACCACATGCAGAACACACAGCGAGCAGCAGCGGCCAGAGCGCCCACCCACCGTTCGTACAGCCTTAGCGGAGCTGGGGCCGACGGAGACGAGCCGTTACTGCAAACAGCAGCGAGCCGGGTCAGCAGGGCTCGAGCCGTCCACAGAGCGGCGCTCCCGGGCACGGCAAACCAGAGATCACACGAAAACCACGGCACTCGCACGCATAGAAAACACACCGGAGATGAAAGGCACGGCGAAGGCACCGGATATCAAAGACACAAGAGCCCTACAATTACAGTAAAATGTACTGCAAATCTTAGATCAAACGCACAGCAAACCCACAGCACTCATTCGCACACATTTACTTCCCACCGTGGAAAGGGTATTAAACGCACAGCACACATCACAGCGCACATCATACACACAACACACACGTCACATCACACATCACTCAAACGTCACACAGCACATAACCCACGTTACTCAGCACACAGCACATAGCCCACGTCACACACAGCACACAACTCCCGTCACACACAGCACACAGCACACGCTCACCGACTACCAGGCAGCCACACTCCATTCTGCTGGCTGGCTGCGCTACGATTTGCGCTGTGCGCGGAGTGCGGACCACAACTCTGTTAGTAAGGTAAAGGGTTCCCGACGCCGACTGCCGCCGGGGCTTCGGTCCCGGTTTCCGGTTCTCTAAGACTATCGTTAGTCACTCTCATTACCCAGTCTGGTAGAGTATAACGTCTGACACCACGCTATCCACTAATGGTTCAACCACGAACCAACAAACCATTTCTACGCAACATGCATCTACAGTCCGTAATCACCCGTACCCTACGGTGCATCTAACTCATGGTTTGACCACACGTTCGTCCCTGAACGAATGCAGTACCGATAAACGGTACTGGATCATGACAAAGTAGAGCCTGTTGATCGATAATGGCCCTTACATAGTCAGAATCTGAGCCTAGGAAGGGCAGTGCAGCCTGTCTGATGGTGGGATGGGATAGTAGTTAGACGCACCGGCAGGTGACGCTGGACTCACCTGCAGGGAGGACATGACGCCGTTGGCCAGGGTGCCCAGTTTGCCGGCCACCTTGGTGACGCCCTGACGTACACTCTCTTTGACATCCTCCAGATCAGGAGTCTGCGTCGGCAGAGCAAGACGACAGAGGGCAAGAGAGCGTCAGGTCAGGTGTGATTAAACAGAGCGGATCAGTCAAAACTCACAGGGAACACTTACACTTACGGGAGACACAAGACTCACCCAGTCCACAGCTATAATGTCCACAAACGAGTAGGTACACAATGGGTTTATACCGACCAGCCGGCCCCACGCCATACTGACCTGCATCATAGGCCCTCCACCGCCACCGCGGTTCGTCTGCGGCTCGCCGAAATAGTCGGCAGAGGAGATACCTCGGGCACCCTGGAACCGGTTCATGTTCTGCTGCGACTCGAACTGAAACGGCGGGGTCCAAACGCGGGTCAGAAACTCTGAAGTCAGATCACATCATAGCAGAGGGGTGAGGAAAGAGCGTACGCGGATTAGTAATAATATGAGCGCTAACACGTTTAAATGGTGCGTCAATTAAGGCTACGTAAGCAGTTCAGGCTAAGACTATTTAGGCTTTAGTTCCAATCGTGGTCATGAAACAGTATGTGATGGCATCTGACACTCACCGATGGTCGCTCGTCACCGAAGTACGCTGCCGACGAGATCGCCTTGGCGTTGCCGAATTTCTTCTGGGCGTCATCACCGCATGACGCCTTGCTGGTATCGGTGGGCGGCGGGCGCCGGGGCGCCGACGAGGGCGTCTTGTCCCAGGAGGACGTGGGCGCCATTTCCCAGGAGGATGTGGGCGCCTTTTCCCAGCTGGAAGCCGAGCTGCTGGATTTGCCCCAGCCGCCGCCGCTGCTACTACCCAGACCGCCCAAACCGGTACCAGACGAAAAGCCGCCAAAGAAGTCGTCATCGTCGCTCTGTGATCTGAAACCACGAGGCGGGATGGAATAGTTAAGAATTCGCCCCACCTGGCGACTAGATAGAGCACACACAATGACGTTGCAGTGAGCTCAATATCGCCACGATAGGTACCATCTCTCCTGTCTCCCGCACCATACACAATATCCGCCAGTCTTCTAAAGCAGACTTTCAAATTAATATTTCCGTCTCACAGACTAGACAGACATTTTCCGTGACTCCCGGAGCACAAGTCCACGGCCCGCTCACTTGGCCTTGGAGGAGAAGCCCAGCTCGAACTCATCCATTTCGTCCCGGCGTGAGAACGCGTCGGCGCCGCGGCGTCCCAGCGGCTCGGCAGAGGCCGGCGCGCTCTGCTCGATCGTTTCCATGTCGCTGAACGCAGAGTGGCTGACGGCACTGTGGGCGGAACGGGTGGGAGCGTCAGTATCGAGTCAGGGCCAGTTTTGTCAAAACTGTCTCGCTTTACCTAGTACATGGGGACGTGAAAACGATAAAAAAAATAGCACGGTAAGCAATAATACAAAATAGCATTAGGTAGTCGTTCTATCAGTCCGAGCCAGTCCTACATCCCTACGTCGCAAAAACCCGTGTAAGCTCTCCCGTCCTACTCCTGTCCCAGGGAACAGCCACCCTTCCAAGGGACCGCCTATCTCCACGGGGACCGACCACCCATTCCCGTCGTATCTCCATACCCGGAGTTGCCGCCGCCGAAGCCCATGCCGAGTCGCTCCAGCTGCTCGGCCTTCTTGGGGTCCATGTTCTTCACCCTGTCGGTCTGCTTCCGCTGCTCCAGGCTGAGGTCCTGGTAGGCGAGCCGTACCGAGGCCAGCTGACGCTCCTGCTCCTCGGCCGTCTGACGGGCCTCCTCCTTCTGTGCAGGTGACCGGGGGCGAGTATATATAAGAGACGTAACAATGAGGGATAGACATCGCGGCAACGAAGTGCCAAATTAATAAAAACAGTTCATAAATCATAGCATATCAAGCGTGTAAGCATTGTACACAATATCCACAGAATTAATTTCATATAGTGCGCAGGCGCAAGTTAACTGTAGCACGTAAGTACACCGCAGTTTTAAATATCGACAGATAACAAGGGTGACGAGAATGGGCCCCTTTACCCCACAGATCCACGTATAACTGAGCCGGCAATACGGTGTCATTTGTCGCCCGATCACGCCGCCTACCTTTGCCTCGGCAGCCTGTACTTTCATCATGTCCGCCTGCTCGGCCTGACGCTCAATCTCCGAGAAGTCCTTCTTCACCTTCTGAGCGCCCAGTCCTCCTCCCAGTTTACGGGCCCCCAGCTGTCGGAAAAGGAGCGCAGTCAGTTAAAGGATCTGTCACTGATAAGGTGTGGTAGTGCGGAACTGAGGCGGCCGTCCCGGTAACGATAAGGCAGTTTCGACGATATATTTATGACGGTGTCACGGCAGCCGGCTACAGCCGTCATGCGACGCTCCGGCTCAGCTAACAGTGAACAAATCAGCTTCACGATACTGGAAACACACACATCACGTTACATTTAACCAATCATTGAAAAGAAGTCAACTAATATCATAATCCTTATCGCATCATAACAACATAAATCCAGAAACTCACTGATCAAGCGTCAAGATAGGTACGTATTACTCGTCCAACAGTGTGCCCGTGACAGTGTGTTGGTGCGTCGCTGAGTGCTACATCTCCACCCCAAAACCACCATTACCGCCCTTACCTTGCCGCCTGCCGGTCGCCGCTGTCCGATGGTCGACTTTCTGATCTGTTGCGGCGCCGCCTGGGGGCTGGTACCGAGCACGTGCTCCACACGCGGTCCGGCGCCCGGCACCTGCACCGCACCGTTCGAGGCCGGCGCGCCCGACTGCGGCTCCGGCTCCGGCTGGGCAAGATCAAGAAGGTGTCAAACATGGCAGTAACGGGCAGACAGACATGTTAAGTTCTCATTGCAAAACGATACGGGAGGTACAGGGTGTTTCACAATAAATGTTACTTTTGAATAGCTTAAATGAAGATCTTACTTGTTCGTAAGCGCGTAAATTTTATATGCATTTTGCTGCAAATTTGTAGCGGTTTTTAGTCCCTACATTTTTTTTTTTACAAACCGTTAACGGTTCCATCAGTATGGACGTGCAATGCCAACACCGTCAAAACGGGTCAATTCGCCGTGTACAGATGATGAGGCGGTATGGGTGGTCATGCATTACGGCGCTTTGCGGAGTCTGACCGCAGTGCGACGGAGTTTCGGTAGCCATTTAAAAGGAGGAAGGATATTCCGTCAAAAATGTCTTTCAAACGGGTAGTAGAAAGGTTCCAGAAGACTGGAAACACGAGACCAGCCCCGACTCCTGGCCGGACGGCGATCCCAGAGAATCTGGTTGAAAAAGTCAGACGGAAGGGTGGCATAGTGGAGAACCCGTGAAGGGTGCTGAACTGAAAGTTATATGTTCATCAGTCCTACTGTTCTGCTGTCTCATGAGGTAATACTCATGAGCCATATTGTAATACATGTCACTGAAACATCGTCGTTTGAAAAGCAACATTCATTGTGAAGGACCCTCATGAAGCTTAACAGCGAATTGACCTGTTTTGATGGTGTGGACATTGCACGTACATAAAGAATGCAGTTGATGATTCGTCATAATTTTTGTAAGGATAAAAAACCCGAAAGAATTTGCAACAAAATGAACATGGAATTTATGGGCATACGAATAGCTGAGGTCATTTTAAAAGCTTATCAAAAGTAACGTTTATTGTGAAACACCCTGTAGGTGTGAGGCAGACCCGGCGCCGGCAGAAAGACTACCACAGCTACAGATATCTGAAAGTTGTCCAAAAAAATAAAGGATAGTAACTAGACAGAGGCCGTTGGGTTAACCATGGACAAAGAGATTCATATGATTCAGATCGAGACACGAGAGTTCATTATTATGTCACATGTAATATCGGCCAGCAGCTGTGAGCACAGCTCACCTCGTGCGCGGACAGCTGGGCGGCGGCCGAGTACTTGTTGTCCTGGGCCGGCGGCTGCTCGAACTGAGCCGACGAGTGCTCGTCGAAAAAGTCCACATCGGGCTGCGCCTTCTCTCCGCCGCCGTCGTGGTGTTCCGACTCGATGTGAACCTGTGACATTGGTGACAAACACACATGAACAGACAGCAACACTGAGTGTACCGTCACGATGTCAACTACAGGGACATTTTCACAACACAGTGCAGTGGCGCGGCAATAACATTTGTCTCCTGCCATGTAACATTTGTCCAGTCAATGTCTTGTTGAGGCAGTCAAAAGGCGTTAGCATCGTTCTTACGCTAACGCGCCGCTACCGTACCTGCGTGCCGTACAGCTTCATGGCCTGCACCGCCATGCCATGCAGCTTGTCCCGGTAGAGCTGCGCCGCCCGCGAGTGGTACTTTTGCTGCGCGTCCGTCGTCGAGCAGTTGTGCTGGTGGAAAAACTTGCGCTGCCGGCGGGGAGGAGTTGTCAGCCAATTGAGGACGGCAATGAGATTATAGGTAACTGGCAATACAAGTAACCTATTAGGAATGGATCACGAAATACGACTTGGGTAATAACAAAAAGAAGTACCTACACAACGTTAAATCGCCATATCAAAAGGCACACCGCGATGACAAAGAATATAAAATGACCTTCAAAACTGCATTTAAATGAGGATGAAAAATCCATGGTTTTATTGTCATATCCGACTGAAAGCAATGGTGATATACTTAAAAAAAAAACTCAATTTATCAAGACAATTCATGGCCAATGACATTGTTTTCAGGAAGTGACGATAACGGTGTAACGCTGTATCGCGAGATGAAATAAATTGACGAAACTTTTGCACAAAATATCGAGAGAAAACTGCCGTCACTAACCGCGTTTGCGTTGCCGCCGAGCTGCATGTTGCGCAGCTGCAGCCAGGTCCAGTTGGTGTCGAGCTGGGTGGAGCGGACGAACGTCACGTGCACGCCCAGACCCCTGCCGGCCGCACACACACACACACACACACATACACACACAGACAGTCAGACGGTGGGAATCATACACCTTCCGAGAGATAAATATTGTCGATAACTGACTGACATATGATGATGGAACATGATGCAATGAAGAAAAATATTAAAAAGAGCATACACCTTTGCAGAATTGCTTAGGTGGCCACAGTTCTAAAAATGTAACTATCGCTATTCGCTCATCATTCATACAAAATCATCTTACTACTTTATCTTCCTTCCTACTTCAACAGTTTCATCATGCCTACAAAACGTGACTTTTATTACTCCTTGCTATGTTCCTCTGCATGAAAATGTAGCACAGGTAACTTGGTTCATTACTTCTTTACGACCGGCAACCTTTCACACAGAAATCCCGTGGAAATCCCTACGATTCACATAGAAATCGTATGGATTTTACACATTTCTGAAACCAAGCAGCATCTACTAGACCCGCTGAGAGCGCTGAGATAGCAAGTCACACACTAAATCCACCAATACAGCGAGCCGCCAACTAAACCCACAGACACATCCTGTTTCGATGGGTTTCATTGGTGGCCCCGGCGCCCGTCAGTATGGAACTGCAGTGATTGGCTGGCTGGGACAGTCCAGTGGGTTGGACCACTAATCAAAAGCTAGCAGTATTGCATGGGACATATGACACCTGGATAAACCATGGGAAAAACGTTTCAGCACAGTAGGTTGTTACCAATGCTGCACAGCACTGCGTCACTCTCCAAGGCTCATAGCATACAGCTCACGATGTGCATATGCATCTTCTACGCCACATCCTCACCTGTGCACAGCTGAACAGTCTATGCAGAGGAAAACACCATATGTGACACTGGCCCAGGTTGGGTTTTTGCAGCTGCAGTCAAAGCAGACCTGAAAAAAAAACACAGAAGCAAGTCTTGAAATAGCAAACACTGGAACTGTTGCCTACCTTATGAAGTGTTGAATAAGGGATGAACCCTGAACAGTCCTTCATGCTAGAAGCCTGTAGATGTGAACCTTAGAAATTCATAACCTCCAACCAACAGACAGTGTCAACTGATGACAGTGAAAGAGGCAGACATTCCATACTTTGCAGTCTTTCCTTGATATTTCTAAGTAGAGTGTTGGTAAGGGCGTGCTTTTTTAAGCAATGCTTAGCTATCACTTTTCAGAAAGAGAACCTACTAAACTTCCTGAAAATTAGAACCTGGTGCAGGGACAAATGCAGAATGCTCCCCTCGAGCCCTCACTCGATTTGCCACGAACATCGGCCACATCATTTTTTATAATAAATTTAGTCCGAACCTTTTGAATGGAAGGATTCACAAGGACAGAGCCTCCGCTAAGCGATGCTTATTGGGTTGACCCTGCCCTCTACCCTCCGATCGCGCAATTCCGGTTCTATGATAGAATTTGGAGTCCAAAGTTTAACGTACGCACATGTCCGCGCACGACCGATCCCCCACTGACTTCGACCGGTCCCCACACACTGAGTTCGCCTGGCTACGGTCTGCCACCAACCGCAACCACACCTGTCAGGAGGCCCATAAACGTCAAGCGCCCATCGCGCTTCGAGCCCGGACTGTTGTAACTTGTAACCGGGAACGCATGCTTTCACCACGCGGAGTCCAACGCTCTACTGAGTACCGACTGAGCTACGGGACCAGCCAATACCTATTATACCTACCGTAAAATGAGGTGTTAAGGAACAGCGGGGTGCTAAGGGATGGTTGCGTGGGAAAAACTTTGAGTCATGTGTTCCCAATTTGAGAAGGTTAAATAAAAAATTGAGTGTGTTAGTTGACACTGTTCAGTTTTGTTAAATTGTTCTTGACTACAGGACAAAATGACATGGTTGACATGGACATGGTTTTTCAAGCAAGTGATTTAGTTGAGAAAAATGGTTTTGAAAATCATGATACATTTTCACAAAATTGAAACATCTCCAAAACTCTGTGTCATGTGTGCATCAGCTGAGAAACTAGCAGGTGTACAGGGAAAATGAATGCATAGGTGTATTGTCACATGTATTGCACATGTCTCTTGCAAAAAAAAATTACAAACCCACCCATTCATTCATCATCCTCTTCCTCTTTTCCAGACACATGCATATTTTGTGGGGTGGGGTGCTACCTAAGGGACAGGGAAGACAAAATAAAAAAAAATATCTAAATAGAATTTCATAAAGTTTTATTTCAGTAGGCATGGAAAACACCAAATTCTACATAAAATGCTGGCAAGTTCATGCTTTTATCTCTAATGCATCTCAAGTTAACATCTCAAAACTCCCTTAACATTCTATTTTACAATGATGGGTCAATGAAGACTGATGTAGCCTGTAGGTAAATGTGACCTGTAATCATAAAAAGATGACAACAAAGAGGGTAACATAAGGACAAATGACTAGCTTCAAAGTGGGTTTTTGTTGCTGACAGAAGGGTACTTTTTGGTTCATTACACATAATTGGCTGAAAAGGCCATTAGTGGTGAATGAGCGTGACTTGTTTTGTGACAGAATATGCAAAACATTTCATTAAATAAATTATGCCCTTTCAAACCCCAATTGTGAGCATTTGATGGCCATTTCTTGGAATACTATAGGTCATAGGTCAGTTGGGGAAACTACGAGGTGAATGTCAAAAAATTGATTGGTCAATAAATGGACTTTTGATGACCATATATGGGCATAAATGCAGCCCCCGCTACTAAGGGTGAAAAATGGTATAACAAGCCGGTACTTGCCGTATCGCGTCCGCGTATTTGGAATTTCCGACCTCGACGAGCGTCTGTGGTAGAAAACCACCACTTTGGTAGGGGAAACTACTGCTGTCTGCTACAATTTGCACTGCATGTCAAGCTATTGTAGCGACATCTATGCATATACCTACATTTCCGACATCGACGAAAATCTCGCGGCGCTTCGCGCCGACCCGCGCCGCCCATTCATTCATACTGGAGACCAAAAGAGATTATGAGTTCAGAGTTGTGACAAATACCTAAAGCAACCACCACGTATGATATAGGTACCTATACATTAACAGTTAACTATCAGATTGACGGCATGTGTCAACAATTATACCCTGATAGAAGACCGGAGGCTCTGGTTACCCGCGTAAAAATGAATACTTCAGACGCGTACCGCGTAGGAATTCAGCCCAGTAGGTATCGTTGAACAGATAGTGCATCGGCCTGAAAAAGTACGGTAACGATACCTAATTTTGGGTTTTTAGTCGGCCGATCCGTCCCCCCTGTCGAAAATCTGTGGCGACGCCCCTGGCACGTAGGACAAAAGTATAGTATCGCAAATGTTCGTACAGTATAAAGTACGCATGGACAAAACTACGTCAAGGACAAAAGTACGCATGGCAAAAGTACGTACATACAGTATAAAGCACGAATGGATAAAAGTACGTCAAGGACAAAAGTATGTACGCATCGAAGAAGTACGTATAGGTGCATTATTAAGCACGCATGGACAAAAGTACGTCAAGGACAAAAGCACATATCGTAAAAGTGCGTACAGCATAAAGTACGTATGGACAAGAGTACGTCAAGGGCAAAAGTACGTAGGTATCGCAAAAGTACGTCGAGTATAAAGTACGTATAGAATAAGTACCTACGTCAAGGACAGCGTATCATAGAGGTAGGTACGTACAGTACAAAGCACGTATACCTAGACAAAAGCACGCCAAAGAACTAACCAGTAACCATAAACCTTGAATTATCCCACGATCATCCTCACCCAGAGCTCTGCCATATACCCACTCAATCAGTAAGAAGTAATGGAAGTTACAGGCAGTACGCCTTCTTCCGTATATATCAAGACTTCAAGACTTCAAGACTTCAATAAGAAAATACGCATCGGAAAAGTACGTAAATTATAAAGTACGTATATCGCTAAGGTACGTACCCTTGCTGACTTGCATAGATGTCGCAACCGGTCGCAACTACAGCGAGACATGCAGTGCAAACGGTAGCAGACAGCAGTAGTTTCCCCGACCAAAGTGGTGATTTTCTACCACAAACGCTCGTCGAGGTCGGAATTTCCAAATACGCATCGCGTCCACTTATTGGAGAGAAAAGGCTTCCATTTTTCACTAGGAATTAGCGTGATTTAATTAAATTCGGCGAATTGACTCGAAAATGGCGATAGGAAAACGGCTTTTCTGCAGGTTCTGGGTGTCACAATCAGCTGGCCATTCAATAAATGGATTGGTTTTATGAAAGAAAATTGTTAAAAGGTTTAATTTAATTACAATAAACAAAAAATATTAAATTCTAAAATAATAACATAACCACAATTAGAAAAACCATACCGTAAAACGGGGTGTTAAGGGACAGTTTTGAGGTGTTTTGTTGTATAACTCAAGAAGGGTTGGAGATAGAAGCATCAAATTGTCAGCATTTTATGTGGAATTTGGTGCTTTACATGCCTGCCACATTAAAGTTTTTAAGATTTATACCTGCATATTATTTTTTATTATTTTTCATGACTGTCCCTTAGCACCCCAATGTGGGGTGTTAAGGGACACTTATACATATTCCAAGAAATGGTCGTCAAATGCCCACAATTGGGGTGTGAAAGGACACACAATTTATTTATTGAAATGTTTTGCATATTCTGTCACAAAACAAGTCAGGTTCATTCACCACTAATAACTTTTTCAGCCAATTACGTGTAATGCAGTTTACGCTTGTGGAAAATGTGCTAATTATAAGGTAAACAGAACCAAAAAGTACCCTTCTGTCATCAACAAAAACCCATGTCGAAGCTAGTCACTTGTCATTATGTTGCCCTCTTTGTTTTAGCCTTTTTATGATGACATCACATTTCCCTACATCAGTCTCCATTGACCCATCATTGTAAAAGAGAGTGTTGAGATGTTTTGTTACATAACTTAAGATGTGTTAGAGATAAAAGCATGAACTTGCCAGCATTTTATGAGGAATTTGGTGTTTTCCATGCCTACTGAAAGAAAACTGAATGAAATTATATTTAGATATTATTATTTTTTATTCACTGTCCCTTAGCACCCCACATTCACCTCAAAATATGCATGTATCCGGAAAAGAGGAAGAGGATGATGAATGAATGGGTGGATTTGCACAAGTTTTTCAGGAAACATGTGCAATACATGTGACAATACACCTATGCATTCATTTTCCCTGTACACCCACTAGTTTATGTGGTACACACAGAGTTTTGGAGATGTTTCAATTTTGTGAAAATGTAGCATGATTTTCAAATCCATTTTTGAACCAAATCACTTGCATGAAAAACCATACCATTTTGTCCTATGGTCAAGAGCAAAACAGTGTCAACTACCACATTGAAGTTTTTATTGAACCTTCTCAAATTAGGAAGTTAATATGACTCAAAGTTTTTCCCATACAACTGTCCCTTAGCACCCCACTGTCCCTTAACACCCCATTTTACGGTAAACAAAATAATAAAAATAATGACATTTTTAAACCACGGTACTGCTTACATTTTTTGGCGCGTCTGTTTCAATCCGCCATATTTGCCAATCACGGTTTGACCTTGCGTTGTAACTCTGCGATTTAGAGCCGCCAGTTACTTATGCACCGGGTGAGTGTAGGTCTTGTGTGGTTAAAAAACACTTATGCCTTATTTTTTCATTTAAATGCTAAAATTAATTGAAAAGATGAAGTCTGATTTTATGACCATATATGGTCATCGCCCCGCCCACTCCAGCCGCTGATTGGCTAATCCAATTTTTGTTTGGCTCCTCGTAGTTTCCCCAACTGAGGTGTCCCTTCACACCCCACATTGGGGTGCTAAGGGACAGTGAAGAAAAATAATAAAAAATCATATGCAGGTATATGTTTTCAAAATTTAAATGTAGCGGGCATGTAAAACACCAAATTCCACATAAAATGCTGGTAATTTGATGCTTTTATCTCAAACCATTCTTGAGTTATATAACAAAACAATTCAAAACCATCACTTAACACCGTTCTACGGTATCATAGACATTTTGTGCTACTTACCCAATATAACATATCTCAATTTATTAAGCATGTACCTAATAATGAACGCCAAAAATGACACTAGAGCAAAATGCTGTTTATGATTCATAACACGAAATAAAACATAGAACAATGCTGATGCAAAATGTCAGATGAGATAAGGTGGTATGTCGCCTCACCTTGTTGGTAGGAATAGCACGTAATCTTTTGAATATTGCCATTATATCACCCTTGTGTGGTACATTGTCTGCCATTTTGAGGGTTTCTACACTGGATTCCACTTAAATATAAAAATACCCTAAAATAATTTTACAATAAAATTCCACAGCTGTCCTACGGTACAGCGCCACTTATCGCCTTGAGCGCCACCTCAGCAACAGTCAAGGCTCGGTTAAAAATAACTGATGACGATTTATTACTTTTTCCCGATCGAAAACACAAACCCTACCAATCCCAACAGCGTTATATTGGCTTAGTCACGCATTACGATATTCATGTCTTTGAATTGGATATACCTATAACTTAGACAAAAGACAGGTTCTATCGGTCCGTGGTTTTGCATGATACAATCATTTTCAGAGGATGACCCCAGACCCTACCTGATCTACACGCGACACTAGTGTTTTGATCCAATTAGACCACTGATTTAGACACATCCCCGGTCGTTGCTCGTAGGAAGCAAACATGCAAGCGGATCGAGAAACATCGGGCCGATTCGCTCACCGCGCCGGCTGTTTGGTCACCTTACGGCTGAGCATGGCGTCTTCCGGCCGAATGGACATCCCTGTGTCGGATAAGCTGATTGGTTAAAGCTGAGCTGGTTGGAGCTGATTGGTAAAAAACCAAAGCCTCGCCGCGGGTGGCTGTATTGTCGGATAAGAACGCATTCCTGGGATAAGGACGCATTCCTGGCGTATTTTCTTTTAAAATTGCCGATAACTACGAATGGAGGCCGAAATCGGCCGTAAGGAGGTAAACAGATAGGTTTTCGGACACGGGCTACAAGATGGCTATCTTAGTTTCAATCCCCATGTTAAAGGTGGCCCTTTTCCTACGATAGGCCTACCTTATAGGGTAAGGGTGAGCTCCTTTTGTTTGGAACCTCTTATACGGCCATGGTTTGAATTAGGTCACAGGCCATAACCCGGTTAGGCTGGGGTGGTGTGACCTGACACTCGTTGACCGGGAGGATGGAAAATGCACTTTTAAAAAGATAGTACCTAGGTAACATGGGGTGGTCCTGAGGATAAAAACACGGGTAAGGTAATATGACAGCATCCAAAGTGATTGGTGAGTAGCCAGTTTCTGCTCCGCTCCCGAAGGCATGACCGGGCCGGACGGACGGAGCTGAGGGTGCCTGTAGTGCCGTCATCTGCCGGTGGTTCCGCGTGCCGACCGGCGCTGTCGGTGCCGTGCCGGTGCCCGCGCCAAGTTTAATATCAGGTCAAAATTAGCCGGAGCCGGTCCGGCTGGGCGGTCGGCCACGTCCCGTCGGCGGAGCCGGAGCAGGGCGCGGACGGAACAGCGGCGGACCCGAGAGCCAGTGGTGGGCGCACGGGCGCGCCGCAGCCGACGAGACCGACGCGGCCGCTGAGACAGGTGAGCACCGCTGGTGAGCCGGGTGAGCGGGGCTTCTGAAACAGGTGAGCGGGATAGCTGAGATCGACCTTGGAACGACTGCTGAACGTATATAATATGTATCGGCATGGCTTGCAAGTTATAAGACGGGTGAGCAAGGCAGTGTTGAATTTTGATACAGGTTAAAGGGGTTGTGACAGGTAAGAACAATTTCGATGCCAGTGAGAGTGAGAGCTAGTGAATCAGCCAGATGAGCAGTGCGACTTCTGGGTTAGTCGTTCATGAGCGTGATAGCTGAGGCATGGGAGCACGGCTGGCGACACAAGGTGAGCAGTGAGCACGGCTGCAAAGAAACAAAAGTTAGAACGATTCCTGAGATCCTGGGACATATAAACACAGCTTATAGTGCCGGTGAGATAGGTGAGCACATGAGGGTTGCTGAGCCAACCCATGGGTAAGGCGTACTGCTGAGAACGATCCGTTGCTCTAGACATCCTATGCATTACGTATATAACTGACATATGATAGTGATACCACGACGTCGTCGAGTGTTACGCGCATTATGCTGTATGAATAAAACGTTTAACAATTAAATTCCAGCTATTGCTAGTTGGGTAACCGGACAAAAGATCGTAAAGCAGAAGATCGTATGACAGAAGATCGTAGGCAGTTGATCGTATGCAAAATATCGTAATGGATAAAGATCGTACGACATAATGCTCGTATGGACAAAAGATCGTATTCGCTAAAGATCGTCAAGGAAAATGATCGTATGTCAAAAAGTCGTAATGGATAAAAATCGTACGACATAATGATCGTATGGACAAAAGATCGTATTCGCTAAAGATCGTCAAGGAAAATGATCGTATGCCAAAAAGTCGTAATGGATAAAGATCGTACGACATAATGCTCGTATGGACAAAAATCGTATTCGCTAAAGATCGTCAAGGAAAATGATCGTACGCCAAATGATCGTATGATATAAAGATCGTACAGTCAAAATATGGTATTCACATGACAGGCACCGTTCCGTGCTTCTATCCTCAGGATACTGAAATCCTTCTCCTCCACGCCGCAACCTCCCTCCGGGCTGGACAGGCAACTTTATCTCATGCGGGCTGCTCCCTTGGAGCGGCACCGCTGCTCCCGAGGGAGCGCATCCCGTAGCCGGGTGCAGTGAGTGCCTTGGGGCTGGGTGGCCTGTCCTCTGGACAGGCTCAGCCCCGGCGACTCACTAGGGTGCCTGCCCAGACCAATGTCTCCCCCTATATCCTATCATCCTCCCGGCTCTGAAATGGTCTCATTGGACCGAAAGGGCCTAACCCAACAAAACAAAACAAACAATCACATGGCACATGGTGCAGCCCAACTCCAGCGCATACAAAGCTTATCAATTTCTATGTTCGCTTAGTAAGTGGCCGTCGTAAGCTCGACCATACATTGATGTTATTTCAGAGCTTAGATGGCTCAATGACACCTAAAAGCAACGCGTTGTATATGTGCCGAATAAATGAATGTATGTGCTGCCGTTTTCATGTACCTATTTGAAGTGAATACAACTAAACCCATGTTCCTCCCCCCCCCCCCCCCCCCACCGCCTAGAAGGTTAAAATGTTGCTTAAGCGGCTGAAGTAAACGGCGTTGAAAACACTTTTTCCTTCGCACTGTTACATTTTCATGTAGAATCGTCATCGCTTTACGAGTCATCAACAGATGTTTATCGCGTTATCACTATCGAAGTCGCAATCCTCCTAGTCATAGCATCCTAGTTTCAATCCAATCCTAGTTATAGGAGTCATTGTTATCGAAGGCCGGTTAAAGATGTCAATTGTCCATTATTGGTAATAACCACAAACAACTTGTATGCGATCATTTCTTTTGACAAAATGCAAAATACAAGCCGTTCAAACGACAAACACCCGGCCAGTTTCCCCGATAGCCTGCCTGCATCCTAACGAAAGCTCAATGCCCGCGGCCCGCAGACCATATCATGCCACTCTGTTCGCTCTGGCAGCTTCTAGTTCTCTGCTCATACTTCCAGCCGTTATATTGAAAAGACTTCGCTTCGCTCGCTGCGCTCGCTCGCTCGTAACAACACTATTCTATACGATTACTTACTTTACGAACGTAACGTTACGATCTTTTGTGGAACGATCTTTTACAACATATGATCTTTATCTTACGATCATTTTCCTACGATCTTTTTTGTACGATCCATTGCTTTACGATCTTTTGCTTACGATCCTTGGTCGTACGATCTTTTGCGACATACGATATTTATCTTACGATCATTTTCCTACGATCTTTTTCATACGATCAATTGCTTTACGATCTTTTGCTTACGATCTTTTTGTCGTACGATCTTTTACAACATACGATCTTTATCTTACGATCATTTTCGTACGATCTTTTGCATACGATCAATGGCTTTACGATCTTTTGCTTACGATCTTTTTACCGTACGATCTTTTACAACATACGATCTTTATCTTACGATCATTTTCGTACGATCTTTTTCCATACGATCTTTTGTCTTACGATCTTTTGTCACGTAATCGCTAGTTGCTACTTTTCTGACTAAAACATAGAGCTTCCATCTTGTTTTGCTCTGCGCTAAGTAAACGTTCACTGTCCAAAGTAAACGGCCCGGTAGAGGTTAAATGCAACCGTCTCATGATTGTGGCGGATCATAAACATCTAGCCGCGCTGTTGACGGTCGACAGTCAGTCTCTAACACTCTATCCGCCACGCAGCTGTGAGCCGCTCACCATCCGTTCTCTGTGAGTTGACTCTGACTCACTGTGTTGACAGAGTCGGGGTGCAGCAGCGGTCAGGTGTTACCGCAGGTGGCTGTACCCCGTGCCACTCCGCGCCGTCCGTCCGAACAGCACCGAGCGGCGACATGTGGACTCGGCCGCCGCCGGAACATGAGTAAAGCGGTGCATTTTGTCGCCGAGGAGCCAGGGTTGGTCGTTGAGGAGGCGCCCGGTCGCCCGGAGCCCGCGGAGAGGAACGGTGCGCGAGCGTCGCCGCCGCTGAGGGTGCGAGTGCGACTCCTAGAGACTCCTGACAGGGAGGAGCGGCGCCGAGTGGTCGACCAGTGGTGGCACGACTGGCGCGATGGCAAACTGCCGGTGAGTTCAAACAGAAGTTTGCCTGAAGGTCAGGTGTGCTTTCCAAGGACCCCACCTTTCCACCCGGTTAACCTGGCCTTTCTACCTACCCTTTCTGCTTCTGATTACTACTGTTTCCACCACTGACGACCTGAGTTATGTTTGAGCTGCCGTGTTTCTCGCTAACACCGCCTCAGTGACTCACCTGTTGCCGACCTGGCAGCCATACACTCGTCAGCACGTGTATTAGTGTGGCTGTCAGTTATCCGGCGCGGTTGCCCCAGGCGCCTGCATGGTTCGTCTGCCTGTCTGCCGTGTAGCGGGGCTGGCGCGGTGCCCCGGTGCGGCGCCCGTCTCGGCCGGATGTTGAGCAGTTGATGCGGCGCTGAATAAACTCGCCCAGTCGGCGGGGCTGTATCTTCTCTACCGCGCTGTCACCGCGGTACCTCAGTGTCCGCCCATCGGAGGTCGCCTGGTGTGACCGGCTCCAGGGGGCGTGGCCGAGATGTGTATATTGGATAGAAGGAACACACTGCAGTATACTTGAAATAGAGGCTCGAATCTCGATGTTGATGGAACGAGCCGGCAGAAACGATCATTGGTTGGGAAGTTGATTATCTGCGGGCTACAGATAAAAGGAAGCTTGTAAGCTTAGCGATTGGCAATTGATAGGCATGGGACAGACGTGACCGCCATGGACACTCGACGGCCCTCGACATTAGCGAGCAGCAGTGACCAGCAGTGACTGCGTGACAGTAGCGGCGGAACACCTTCAATTAAGGGGGGATACTGCCGACTTTTGGTCCCAATCTTTCCATGCAACGCCCATATAGGGCTAATGTTAAAATAGCAAAAGCAAGGGGGCACGGTGTCCCAGTGCCCCCCCCCCCCCCGTTCCGCCGCCTATGCAGTGCGTGAGCGACATTGAGACCGACAATTACCTGGCGATTATAACGGAGACCGACTGACAATGACCGACGGTAGCAAAGTAAACATAGTGGCCGACTGTGGGTGACAGCGACACTAGGTTTTTTTTTTTTACGTTTTGCCGAGAGCAGACGGTGACCGGACAGTGACCAACAATGCCGCAGCCCTCTGACGGTCGCGACGGTCTGACTGATTGAAAACCTGCGCTCAGCCGATGATCCCTGCGCACTAACAAGCCCTGTTGATGCGTGGTATACAATCACATAGACCTAACTAATCAGTCCAGGATTCGCATGACTGGCATAGCGCATTATACCCCGCGGTTCAATTGGACGCTACCTCGTGCCTTAACCAGTAGCTGTCGGAGCCTCGGCTCCCGAACGTGATTTACGTCATATCAGAAATTTACTAGGGGCATCGGGATAATTAAATTCACAAATACGGCTAGATAATGGCTACTGGTGGCTGTTTTGGGCTTCCTGGTTTCGATCGACAACCTGAGAGAGCACTTCGCTTAGTACCTATACGTTCGAAGAATAAGGTTGAGCCCTAGGAAATATTCGCTCGCCTTCGGTATAGTTGCATTTATGCACCTAATATTCCGATTAGATATAGTTGCTGAGTCGTAGAGCTGATGAAGCGTTGCTAGCATTCTAATTCACCTGAAAAATAGCACGATCGACCCTTAGAGAAACTTTATTCCCCCGCATAAATGATTATCAGTAGGTATCCCGTATCCGGCAGGGAAATAGAAAATGGGTGGAGGAGGAACTGGATACTATCCATGTAACATGCGGGTGGCATACCAATCCAGGCAAAGTGCCCACGTCGACTATCTAGCAGTTTTCGAGGGTCCCATAACGTTTACCGCCACATACTTGGGCGTCAGCGGTCACACAGTCTGTACCAAGTGGCCGCATCGGGTTCACGGGGCCGGAGGAGCTACGGATCAAATCCCGGGCTCCAGGCGAATGCACGCGGCCAGCGCTGCACCTGGGAGGGCATAACGGCCGGACGGGCGACGACCAAACGAATCTAAGCCAGACGAACGACGCAGGGCAGGCTGGTTTACAGGCGCATGGGGCGACAGATTGCACTGTCTGCTCGCATGCCGTCGTTATTAAATAGCAGTTGGACATATATGGGGGCATGAATGGTTAAGTTGTCTTGGTCTGCTGGCTCATAAGCGCCCCCCCCCCCCTGAAAAAAACAACGTAAATATAAATGTTAAGCATGCGATATCAATCGGTAACATCATCAAAAATATTGCTCTCTGAACTCATAAGAAGCAAAACATCGCGCAGATCATGGCTAGTCCGCTGACGGACGGTGCTGCCGCTGACAGTCCGTCACTTGGCACCGTGCAGGGCTCAGCCGGCCGCCGCGCTGCTCCGCGCCGGCTGAGCCTCGTCGCCACAGCTCGACGGCTGCCCCCACCTGTCCGGGCTGAACCGCCGCAGGCGTGTCTAACAGGCACTCATGGCCTCGGGCTGTGTGCTGTGCTTTACGTGACCTACAAACACGCACAAACAGACCGAACGTGTCGGCGCCCGGGGTGCGCCGAATGGTGGACTGTCGAGCCGACAGTGTGTGTGGGGGGAGGGGAGGGTGTCGTCGGCGGCGATGGGAGCGTCGGTCGAGAGATGTTGAGTGTGTGACGTGCCTGACGATCGGTGACACGCGATGGCCTTTGACGAGTTGGGATCTAGGGAAGGCCGGGATGCCTATTCGAAAATCTCCTATCGATTAAAAAAAAAAAATGACAGGTATGATGGAGGTCATTGGTTTTAATCGCCACGTAAACTTATTTTTGCGTTAGAATATCATATATGAAAGCAAAAAAGCGCTTATAAACTGGCTTTAAAACTTTTGAGTTTCTGTTCACTTTTCCGTTAACCTTCGCCCCAGTGGGGGGGGGGGGGGGCATATGTTACCACCCTGTCGCGTTTTTTGCGTATAAATAAAAAACCGCGGCGCGTAGCGCCGCGCCGCTTGGCATAGCTTTTTGTTCATCAATTTTGGGTAATGTGTGAAATTTTTGACCACAGGTCATGTCAGGTCAGGTCACCAGGTCAAGTTAACTGACCAAGCCTAAAAAAAAGTTTGCAATCATATCCAGCCTGCAGTGTTTGTCAGAAAGGTTTGAAACTTGGTGGATTGCATGCTGTTATGGGGGCCTACAATTTGTATATCTCGGATTTTTTATATCCGTGACCTAAGGTCAGGTCAGTGGCGTGACCTTTCCATTACAGGTCAATGGAGAAAAATGAAAATGCCTCTAGATCCGTGTGTACGCATCGGAACAGTCCAAATATTTCAGAATCACAATGATTTAGTCCACTCGTGATGACCAAGGTGTCATTTTTGCTGATAGCCTCTAGACAGGTCATCTGAGGTCACTTGAGGCTACAAACAGTTTTTTGCCAATAACTCGCGATTGGAAAGAGATAGAACGCTGGGGATGGTCTCATTGTGTTTGTCTTGTTGAGACGCATCGAATGATATGCAACATGACCTTTGCCGGTAAGGTCATGACCTTGACCTGAGGTCAAATTTTCAAGTTGACCTTTCGAGGTCAAATTATAGTTCATTCGACGCGTCTCGGCTAGGGGAACACGATTCTGGCAATAGAAATGTCGTAGCTTTTTGTAGTCGAAAGTTATTGTCGAAAAACACTTTTCGTAAAAACAGCTATTTTTGGAGTTTTTGCCCTCTGCAGGCTAAACCGTTGACCTGAGGTCAATATTGATAATGACCTTTTCAAAAGAAGAGTTCAAAAGCTATCGTTTGCACTTCCATCCGTTTTTCTAGCTACCATAGTTCCTGAGATAGCGGCATGTTTTCTGAGAAATATAATGACAATTGGCAAATTTTGACCTTTGGTGACCTCTGGTGACCCCAATATTGCTCTAAGGTGAAAAATGACCGAAATACTTTCAAACGTACGCATTGAGAGCTATCGACTGCTTTTTACCGCGTCTTTCTAGCCCTCTTAATTTTTGAGTTAGAGGTGGGTGGTAACATATGCCCCCCCTCACTAGGGCGAAGTTGGCTGAGACCGCCACTGGGGCGCGGGTTAAAACATTTGGGTCGAATGCATTGAGTTTAAACGTCATTCTTCACAAAATAAGCCTCAAATAAAGCACCGCAATTTTTCTCAACTTATGTGTCCTATTTGCTTTGTAAGTGGAGTTTTAAACGGCTCCGTCATATGATAGTGTCGTGGCAGTATTTAGAAACTCGTTTGCTACATATATGGACAGGCGAACCGATAAACTTATCGGTCGTTTTGCTACTATCGATCGATAGAACTACATAGATACCCTTGAAATTCAAGAAATGCAGCCCGAAGTTTTTGCTACTGCATTGCTAGATGTTAACCCGCGCCCCACTGGGGTCTGTGTATAACACGCCCTACTGGGGGGGGGGGCTATTCATAGCCCCCCCCCCCTCCTAACTCCGAAACTACTGGGCCGATCGTCAAAATTCAAACGGCGTCTGACAGCCCCGGAAAAACTGTCGAGCGAAACCTAATTTCATTGACCTCGAGGTCACCGATGACGTCACAGGTCAGGTCAAAGTAAAAATTATTAGCATTTTGGCTTATTCACATTTTGGGCTCTGGCCGCCGTCTTACAAGTCATATCAAGCTCATTTTTGGTTTCCACACTCGTGAACAGATGCTCTAGATACATTGAGGGTACCAAACTTGTACTTTGATTTTCAGGTCAGGGTCAGGTCATCACAGGTCACGGAAATATTATATCATGCGTCGGTCACGTGACACATGTTTTATGGTCAATTTGGGCCATAGACTTCGAATTTGATGTCGTCTTTGTCATTCGAGGTCATTTTGAGTGGAATTTAGCTTAGGTCAGTTCACTTTCCCAGCCAGCAATTCGCTTGGGCTAAACTATGGCAAACGTCGGGCAGCTTGGGCTTAGCTTGGGTTTGCCCACTTCGATCAAAACCAATGCATTTTTTACTTGGGCTGAGCTTGGGCATGTCGCAGCTATGCCCGAGTGTGGCCAGCTGCAGCTCAACCCGACATTCGCCCGCGCAATCAAAGCAGGCTCAACTTGGGCGGAGCGCGG